CAACAGACAACAGTGAAAAAATAAGACTTTTGATTATCTCCCCATTCCAGTAACTCTTAAAAATTGAACACTAGGCTGGATTTTGCATATTTGCTTAGCAAGAAAACAGCATATGACTCTGCAGTTTATATTTAGGAGGAAAATAGTATTTTTGCATTAGAAGTGTGAAGATACTACTTCTTTTCCCTTTTACAAATCTGCAAGTCAGGAATTAATTACTGTAACTGGGGAAAAAAACAGTTTTCACGGAAGCAGAAAGCTCTCATTAACTTTCGTGGGACTCTGGTGACCCTTTGAACAGGAATACGCCTATAAAAATATGAACTCCGATCTATTTATCATTTGATTATAATTCCACCCTCTAGATGATGTAGTTTCAGTGTGTGTTAGATTTGCACACTGCTTTTAAATGATGCAGCTGTTCCATGGTTTCATGGGGATACATGTGCTGGATTTTTCAGACTGGATCTTGTAGCATCCTAAAAATACTTGGTTTAGGTCCATCCAATTGTATTTGAGCTGCCTGCATGCTAATATTTTACAGAGCTCTTTTTTGGCTTATAACATATGGCAGTACTCACAGAAATCAGGAATGAGCACAGGTGTTTGGGAATACTGTCATGGGTGTGGCTGTGTAAAAACAGACTTGGTGAATGGTCATGCTTACTTTCAGAAAGATTGCTACCAATTTTCCAAGCTTGTCATAAAGGGGGCAGTAGATTCATCTAGGAAAAAAAGGTCACTAGTTTAAGAACAACTTTTTAATAGTTTAAAATGTTGGAGTTCTTGGCAACTTAGAATAAGAATTCAAAATGAAAGTTCCATTTCAGGCCATTGTAATACTTACTGTCCTCCAGATGTGCTCGTTGCAAGCCAAGGAAAAGTTTGGGTCTTCTAAAATACATTCTTATCTTGCTCAAGGACATCTTCTTTTGCCAGGTGGTGTCTGGGGGAGCAGACCTCTGTAACCGCACGCTGGTATTTGGCATAGGTGCTGGGGTGTTCCGGGGTGTATGGAAGCCGGTGGGAAGCGAGGGGGAGAGACAGGGGAGGTGGGGACGATGTGTCAGAGCTGGGTGCAGCTGCACAGGGCTCCCACATGCCCGTCTTGTCCCGCTGAGGCAACCTGGGTGGCCCTGAGTGTCTCTGGAGCACACTAGTGGGGCTTCCCAGCCTGGCCACTACCTCTGGGCATTCTCCCGCCTGCCCCCTGTAGCACTGTTCATCTGGCCGTGGGGTGCTGCTCTTCAGGTGGCGTGGGCATGGGCTACCCTTTCTACCCCTTCTTCACCTTGGCAGTAGACTCCTCCAGCAAAGGTGCTGTAAGCTCCCTGGCAAGAACTGATCAGCACCACCTCTCGGGGCACCCTGTGGTGCTCCCTCACTTTCCCTCTTGCCCTAGTTCCCTTGTCTTTGCATGCTGTGCTCACCTTCCCTTGCTGCTCCTTGAGCCCATATTCCTCTTCCTCCTTTCTCCCCAAAAAAACCCTGTGGCCTGTCCTGCTCCAAGCTCCACCTTTCCACAAGGTGCCCCGCACTCCCTCAGGCGCCCAGACGTGCACCCATGCAGCGAGCACGTTTTCCACCCATCCGTCCCCAGGCAGGGCTCCCAGTATTACCCAGGGACCAGCTGTGTTGTGCTCGTGCCTCTGCTGCCCTGGGCCCGCACTGCACTCAGCCACAAGCTCCACTGGCAGCCAGGGGCGATTCAGGCAAAAACACAGTGCTGGGCTTGGGCTGCTGCTGAAGAGACCTCTCCTGACCAGCACTTGTTGATGGCACTTGGTTTAACAATGTAAATTTATTTTAAAGCAAACAACAGTAACTTGCTTGGCCCTTAAAAATGGGTACCTGGTCAGTATAGCGCACTGATTTAAAAATTAGTTGCTCGGGTTATTTTAATGTAATTGAAGTTGTCTGCTAATATAGTCCTTTTACTTACCTATTGCATTTTCAAATCAGTAATGATATTTTCTTATTGCTGTCCATTTTTGCAGCACACAAGCAGGATAAAGGATATGGTAGTGACTTTGAAGGCTCTGCCCAAAAACTTCATGATTAGAAGTCGAGAATTGGTAACTGTGGTGGTAATGAGAAAGGGGAAGATTCTGAAGAGAGATTAGAAAGAATAAATTCAAATCACACTTGAAAGAAAGCCCACTAAAATCCACTAAAGTGGATTTCTGGAAAGCAGTTTTCCAGATATATTCACTGCCTTTTCCTCTTTCCATCCTGACTTCCTCAAATAAGATTGCTTCTTTTTAGTCTGTGTCAGTATGAACTTTGGTGGGATCCTACACTATGTGGGAACTGAAAAGCATGCCTCCTACATGGACATCAGTTTCCTTCAATTTATTGTTGACAGCCTGTCGTGTGACTTGTTCCTCTTAAGCCAATATAGTTGTTTCTGTTTAGAAGATGAGAAGCAACCGAGGACTGTCTGAACCAGCCAGAAAACTCCTGTCAGTGAACTAAGTAAAAGCAGAGGATGAACTTCATTTGAAATTTATAGTAAACTCAGAATTTTCCTGTGAAAAATTAAGTTAAATTTTTTATAATCATGAGATTCTAAATTAAATACATAAGATTTAGTGCTTTGAAGTGATTTTTTTCTTTAATCCCCCAAAGTCTCATAAAGAGTCTTGATAATCTCCCATTTATTGCAATGTAAGTTGTAGCTGAAATACACGTTTATCTCTGCAAAGTATGAGAGTGCATTTAAAATAATTTTTAAACTTCTAACATAACCAAAACTCCAAAATTTTATTTATATTCCTCTCACTATTTCAGTGAGAAACAGATGGCTTTAAAGCACAGCTTTTGCGTGCATCATCCTACCAACTTAAATGTCAAGAATTTACATCCTGACTCTGTAACTGGGGCCACATCATGTTCTCCTCAAGTCTCCCTGTGCTGCTTTATTCAGCAGAAGGATTCCTCTCCAGAAATCTGTCTTCAGTTGTTACATTAGGGAATTAAACTGTATAGTCGCTTACATACACAGATACCTTACATGAACCGTAGGCCTTGAATTCCTTCTTTGGGGTAGCAAATGCAACCTTGCATATGGCCAAGGTGACATTATGGAACTATGGGGAATATATTGTTTCTAAGCAGTGGTGGAAGTCTCTCCAAGTAGGAAAACGATATTACAAATAGCAAAGTATTTTTTTTGTAAAGCCATAATATTAAGACACAAAGCTTGGACTTACAAAGACTTGTTTTAGATACTGTTGAAAAAGAACAGAGACTTCACCAGGGTGTGGGAATTGGGCTGAAGTTGAATCAGTTCATGTTTCATTTTATTCAAAGTATAATAGCCATATGCCTAGTACATTGGGCTGAAAACAGGAATTCCAGTCTTAGAAGTCATCTGCGGAAGGTGGAAAATATTCCATAAAGGTGCATGTTGTCCACACCCTGTTTGTTTGTTTAGAATATTATTTCTGTAGAAGTGCATCTTGGATACAATGAACTTTGCTGTGGTGAAAACAGGACAGGCAGGACGGGTAGGTTCACAGTACCTGAGGAAGAGTGGTGAGATTTGAATTGTGTCTGTGATTAGGGTTATTGGTAAGCATTAGTGTTGACTTAAGTGGCGTGCTCACATGGGAGTATCAGCTCTTAAAATTAGTGATATTAAGCAAACAAAGTGAGTTTAATAGCGAATAAGGTTAAAAATATTAGCAACAACCTGCATGAGATTACCTTGCTTAAACATAGGTAACAAATATATATTTGTGTCATATTGCACTATACCAATGATAAGGAACATATGCATTCTCTTTGTTCACATTGCCTGTTTGATTTTTTTCAAATATATTGACATGATATAGAGTAACCTTTTTATGATGGTGTTACCTTATCTCTTCAGAGTTCTAGATGTTTTTTTCAGTAAGAATTTCACTTCTCAATTGGATATTTTTCTGCTTAACGTTCTTGTACAAGTTGTGAAAGTAGGAAAGTATTTGTAACGGTGATCTTTTAAACTTCAGGCAAATTTACTTGTTTGTTTGGGGGGGGGGAGAGAAAAAGGTGGAAAAGATGTCAAGTTTACAGAAAAATCACTTTCTGAGTGTACAGGCCAAGATTTTCAAGGGATGTGTGATTCTGTGTGTTGCCACTCTAGGTGCCAAACTTGAAAATGCAGAGACTGAATATCTCAAAGCATTTCAAGATATATACCTAAAATCAGGCATTACTTAGACTGAAAACCATTGCCATGAGTTGTATTGTTTTAATGTTGGAAGTACTTTTTTCAAAAATGCAAAGTAAATGATTCAGAAAGTTGTATCCTGAGTTTATAAAGAAAGACTTGTTGCTTTCCATGTTGGTCAATTTCTTAATTTTAGAATATTTCAAAATGCTGTAATTCAATTAGGAAAATTTTCTTTGGGCTAGTACTAGTAGTGGCTAGACGACATTTCTGTCATTACTGTATTTGTTTCTGGAATCATCGTGAAAGAATACTGTTTCAAAAAAAGAGGCCTTGTGATTCTGATTTCATTATTATAGCAGTGTGAAGAGTAGAAGATTTTCTTGAACTGGTTTGTGCTTGTGTAAGCTGCTAGGAGTAGAAGTAGTATGACTATGTGTGGTTAGTGGGCTTCTATAGTAACCATGGAGTATAAAATGCTCAGTTTTGAATTGAACTGTTGGGACAGAAGCCAGGCTTTTTAACCTTCTAGTCTCTAAAGTCTAAGTACCAGAGCTAATTTTGAAAACACTTTGAGGTTTAATTGTGTGTTTACAGTGGAGTAACAGTAGTTTATTAATTCTAAAACCTGAAATGATGCGTATCCATTTTCATGCATTTTAATTATTATTTTAGTTTACGTGATTTTTATGCAGTAATTTATTTTTGACATTTCTCAAGTTAATCTCCTTTAATATATATATACGCTCCTGTTATGTTATTTTACTAATCTTGTTTAAAAAGGGAACATTACATACTGAATACTGTACCTCAATTTTATTGTAATGATTTTACTGGTTACCAGGTGGGGTGGCAGTTGAAAAATTTGGTGAATGCACTACGAGAGGATCCGAGTGGTGTTATCTTAACTTTGAAAAAGCGACCTCAGAGCATGCTAACCTCAGCACCAGCTTTACTGAAAAATATGAGATGGAAGCCCCTTGCTCTGCAGGTAATGAAGCTTAATCATAAGTCATACACCATCATTTTAACTATAGATTATCTCAGTGATGCTTTATTGTGCTTCATCTCAGCAGCATATGGATTTACTCTTGTATACTTTGAAACATTGTTTCTGAAATGGTTTCTCTGCAGTTTGTCCTCATAGGCTCAACTGAGATTAAACTGGTTATTAGAACTTTTCAAAGTTAAGGAGTAGTCGTCCCAGTGTTTTACAATGCAGAAAAGTAGCCCCAGATAACTTTTCTCGCCAAGGGGAAACAAGCGTACTTCAGAAACTGGTGAATTTTAGTTTGACTTCTTGTGAAGCTCTCAGTGCAGTAAAACCTCAAAGAAAGAGAGGAGGAAAAGATCTTGAGTTCTCAGTTTGATCAGTCATGGAGTTAATGGAAAATTTGTAAGGCGATTTTATTCAGTAAACATAAGGAGGTGTAGCACAGGTTGTCTGACTGGGCCTTTAGTTTTAGTAAGCCTGAAGTGTGCTGAAAACCATAGAATGGTTTCATTAAAGCTTTTGTGTTTCACTCTAGGATAAAATGTCACTGTGGTGGATTACTCTAGGAAATGAAAGTTATGTCCAGACTGATGAAAGCATGTAACCAACAGATGGAACTGACAAATAATCCCTCTTTTCATTCAATTCAGATAGAACAGCGTTTAGAAATTTATTTTCTTTACATAAAGAGTGCATTCTTTGGGACATTTTTATTATCACAAAAATAGTCTAATTTAAATTTAAGTGCATTTGAGAGAGAAGAGACTTCTGCAAAGTTCAAGCAAAAGGAAAATGAGATATGGAAATGCCACTGCCAGTAGCTGTGGTCTTTGCCGTTTGAAATATTAGGAGATTCATAAAAAGAACAAATGCCATGAAGAACTTCTTTCAAATATGTGTGTGTATATATATAAAAAAAATATTTTGTAATGGTTAAATGCATCATTGCCTTTGAAACTGAGTAAGTTTTTAAATGATTGAGATGTCTTGGTCTTTCAACCGGAAATATCTTACTAGCGTCTGAACATAAAGTTTGAAATCTGTATGCATGATATGAGTGTATGAATGTCCATAACTGAAGGCAGCACTTCTATCACAGCTTTAGTGAGAATATAAATACAAATGAAAACTGCACATCATTACTCTAAATGGGGTCAAATGTTTTTGGTCTAAATCCTCTTTGAGTGAGTTTGGTATGTCTTTGGGCAAGTTGGATAATTCCTCTAAATACTTCTTTTTACTTCACTTTATCATTTGCCACTAGAATAATTACACTGAAGACCCCAGAACAGAAGTTTCTGACATGGGCCATTGATGCAGACAATAGCAAATAAGCAGTTAATTCAAGACAGATACTCCAAAAGAGTTGGAAGAAATTGGACAGAAACCAGTTTTCACCATTTAAACCAAGTCCAGTAGGAAAGTGAGGATTCCTGTGGTCCTTTTACGGTGCATGCAGTCATGAGCTAAAGTCATGGTCCTCTGAAACTCCACACTCACTTCCAGAAGGAAAAATCCAGTCATCTTTTAGTGTTTTATTTGGCTCTGGTTTACATCTCAGCATCCTTAGTTCAATACAGATACTAGGGTGTTTTTCAACTGATGTAACTTTAGATATCTGCTATCTACATATCTACTTATCTACATATCATTCATGTTTCTCATTTTTACTCCCTTTCGCCAGCAGACATACGTAAAAGTTACTGGTTCATTCATCTGGGCCTATTTTAGACTGATCTGCCTTAGGATGAGCTGAGTTGGACCCTGCACATGCCTCTTTCTCTCTATTTGATGATAAAAGCAGTCTGGAGAGCTAGCTTGAATGTAGGTTATCTGTATTAGATAAGAGGAGACTGACCCTAGATAGAGATTTTCTGTAATCTTACATGTTGGGGGGTGGGGGTAATGGGAGTATTAGTTTTGGTGTGTTTTTTTTGCTGATAGCATAGAAAATATGAATATTTTTAATGCTAATATGAGTACAAGTAGGGATACTGTTAAACATGAGAGATATAATTCTGGTATCGCTATGATACTGTTCTGATTTTATCAAACGTGACACCTGGAAAAGGCCAGAACCTTATTCAACACTTTTGTGTGAAGTGTGCGTATGTGTGTCTGTTGTAATTTGTAAATTTAGTGTGAGAAACAACAGTTTTCTTAAGTAGACTGTGTGTCAAAAAAACTCCAGGGTGAAGTGAAGACTTCAGAAGCTGCATAATAGGGAGATCTCTGTTTTTAATTTATGCAGATCAGAGGTGAACAGATGTTAAAGTCTGCTGATGTTGAAGATTAAATGTCACCTAAGTGTGAAATTGGTACTGTTTGATTAATAACAAGCAGCGAAAGCAGTCATAGTGCAGTCTAATTTTATAGCTATTAAAATATGAAGAAATTATGTTTATTTTACAGAAATTACTTCAAAAATTTCTGAAAACAGATCTTCAGAAAAGCTATATGTTTTGTAATTGCGGTTTGCCCTATGGCTGTGGTGAAATTTCTTATGTTCATGATTCATGTAAGGGTGCTATTCTTTAACAGGAGCTGGGGAGGTGGTGTGAGAGGAGAGA